ACCCTAGAAAAACCATCGAGAGCGACACCCACGCGCCCTCGAGTGCTCTGGCCAACATACAGCCACTCGCTAGATTCTACATTCAAAAGAGGGGAGTTGGGTTCTCTGTAGGCAGTCGTCTCTTGCCCTGCAAGATATCCAGCAGCTACTTCACATGATAAGGCTGAGATCCGGTGACCCAGATGGGCGGTCTATCTTGTCGTCCTTCGAGTCTATGTACCCCAAATGCTGCCAAACCAGGCAATCTCGGCAGTGACTTCCATGTTTAAGGTCTGAGGCACAGCCGTGCCCCTCAAAGTTTTTACGTCGGCAGAGTTGTAGGGTGGGATATTCTGTCATAATCTGGCATAGGTACTTGTGCACGTGGTGACATAACTAAAATTAGCGGAACGTGAAAGTAAGTTTCTCAGGTGTACGATAGAACTGTTCGCAAAAAAGGAAGTGAATGACGTGCTAGCTCAACCAAATTGCCACATAGGGAAGGAATGTCTTTTCAAAGTTGCACCAGCAAAAATCGAAACAACTTTTAGCGGTTTAGAAAAAATCGGTTGCTCCAGTTTTCTAAAGTTTGCCTAAAGTCAGCCTCCACAACAAATTCAGGAAGTAAACCGATGGCCGTATCTGTGGAAAAGAAAAGTAACCCAATTTCTCCTATCATATTTGATGATATAACGTGCATCGATATCACGAAGCAAATTTGAGCCCCGTAATACCTCTTCCATTTATTGGACTCCTTGAAGTTTTTCGTTTTGACTGACAAGATAAAATAAATATTTGCTCACTTGCAACTTCTTTAGATTGTTTGGATGGTTGGCTACCTGGAGAATCAGGATGATCGGAGTCCTGCCAGGTTGCCATCATGGAGCCATCAAGGTGCCCGGGTTGTACTGAAACCGATAACTTAGCGGTCAGCATGTCTGCGCCTTAAACACTCAGTACATCGAGATCTTGGCATTTGGATTTTGGGTTGCGGTCAATTTTGTGAACAGTATTTCCAACATCGATACTCAGCTTACTAACCCATCAACGGCGGTGTGCCATCATTTTTTGAGGCAGAGTTGGCAAAGTTATCATGGAAACGATCATGAAATCGATCTAGACTCACCACGACGCAACGAACTAAGGGTATTCGATGCTGATTGGCCTGCATTTTGATCAATCAGACCGTGGCTTCGGCTGGTCCGCGACCGGCCTTTGGCACACCCACCTAACGTCATAGTGGTCGGTTGCTTCGGCATCCCCGCTGCGGTCAGGGACACAACTGAAATCACTAAAATCCACATGATTTTTACAAGTTAATGATAAAATAAGATGATGATGCCATGTGATAGTATTGTGATCCATTCATCAGCCACTTTATTCATCAATGAGAACAGTCGTTCCGGTGCGCCTAGTCTAGTTGAATATATGGTCAACCTGCAATGTGTCCTTATGCCTATCAATCAAACGGCCTGAAAAACTCTCACATGACCACCGGAGCTTTCCGGTCATTTGCATCCAGACTGCCGTGAGCCTGATGAATGATCACAGTCATACCTGTTCAAAATTGTGAACTAACCGACTCCGATCTAGCAGTCTGCGGCTGTAAATGTCCACCCGCACGACACTCGGTATCTGTGAGGTTATGGTCGCAATAGTGTACATTCCCACGTGTAGACGATGTTGGACCCTAACATCTTAGCTGTATGGTGAATTAACCACACGCATTATTCCTCTCTGGCTTTGTGGCTCTAAGACTAGTATGCCGGGCGCCCTACGGCCAACTCCAACTTGAGCTTTAAACTTACCCTGCTAAAAAGACCAAATGGACTATCGGGCTCAGAGGTAGCATGTACTCGTGAGAAGCAGGTCGGGGGGGGGGGTAAGAGGATTTCAGGTGGCGTCGACGGCCGGAGAAGGCAGACGTCCCTGGTTATATGATGTTTCCACTTGAGCCGCTGGAACACTTACGTGGCCAGCATTTCCGATTAGTTATCCCATCCACTCTGTCGACTAAAACTGACATACTTCCATCCTAGGTGTTTCAGATACACAATTTCTTGGAATAAAGTTTAACATGGTAAACTTCCAGTAACCATGCCACTGGTGCGCTGGAACTTCTTCGGATGCTTTCTATCAGCGAAATCATCGAGGATTACGATGGCTGTTGTTAGGACGTTTAAACCGTTTGGCCCGCTTGCAGTTAACCCAGGGAGAAGCCGTCCCAGGTAACTGGACTGTCGGCAATGGTGAACATCTTCCAAAAGTTTGGTCTGAATGAATATACTAACCACATAAGTGCCGTTTGACTCCGTTGTAACGAGGCTCCTGGTAGCACTGGTTCCTAGCTGTCTTGTAATGGCACGCAAAATATCACCCCGTGGACATCAGGCGCGACTTCGACGATGTAAAAGCCGTAATAACCACATGTTCACATCCTGTCAAGTGTCAGACCGACAACAATCTTGGTGTTCGCTTACTTTGGTGGTGTGTTCAATACTGTTGATTGATCAGTGCTTTTAACTAGACTTAGTCAACAGGAGGTACTCCAGGGACTTGTGGACATAATCCGATCATTGTATTCACATGCGTTCGGGCGTGACATTGTATGAGAGGCCCTCTAAACGCTTCTGTACAAAAAGTCGCTTCCCACAAAAATTTTCAGTGTTCATTTCTGTTCAGCTTCGTTACCGGTGAAGTAGCGAGGCGAATGCTGGAATGTTTCCAAAGTCCTGATGTTCCATTTGTTGTCGGTGACAACCCTGTCGATATAGAGTACACCGCGGTAAATGAACTACTCACACTTCATAGGTTACGCTGGTTAGGATGTGTACTCCGCATGCCAGAAGACCGTCTGCCTCACAGAGCTCTTTTCTTAGCCATGTACTGAGTGGAAGCGACCGAGAGGTGGACAGTGAATGACCTGGCTACAAAGTACCAAAACACTAACCAGCAAATTTAGTCGGGTCGCAATTGCCCTCTCCCTCATCAACGGTTAATGACACTGGCAGAAATGGCCCAATCGCGAAATCAGTGGAGCTCCTGCGTCAAAGTCATCGCCTTCAGTGCGTAGCTACCCGATTCCCGAACTAACTGAACATGCCATCGCTTCCAATGCTTGGTTGTAGGTCCCACACTGTCCCGTTTTCTGATGGTCGAAACTGCATCAGCGGGGACCAGTGTGCCTATGTGACACGGTTTATAAAAAAGTCGTTCGGCTGTAGCACCCTTTCGGTGCCTAGCTGCCATGCCACACGAAGGCTGGGATACTGCCAGGTCACCCAAGCCTAGACAGGGGAAGTCGAATCGCAGATGTCGGGTTCGACACGGTTTATAGCTAGCGAATTGACTGGTTGATGGAGTACGCTGACAATAATACCGATCGCCTTGTTCCTCTTTATGTATCATACGTGTTTGTATCTCAGGGCTGTAATCTGATAGGTGAATATGGCGCTTCCAAGTCACCTTTGAGCACAGAGTTCTGCTTGGGACCGGCGTGAACTGACGCACGGGTTGTTCACGTGTTCAACATCACCATCGACATCAATGTCAGATAATAGCTCAGCTCAGCGAGCAAACCAACGACCAGATGAGAGCATTGTCGCTTCACATCCGTGTCAATTTATCTGAATAAAGAAGGCAAGTGTGACAGGGGATAGGCCTGGGGTTAGCTGACAACAAACATCCGAGGTGCCTACACCTCCAACACATAGTCGAAGAATCTGAATAGAAGCTGTCAGTGTGAATTACTTAGCTCGATTAGTGGCCATATCGTTCAGAGTTTCCAGCGAAGCACAGGTAGAGCCACACAAAGCAGAACAACACAAACTTTTCGCAACACCCTTTATTTTCTCCCGTCATCTCAAATTGCTTCCTCGAGGTTTTCGCCACTTCGAATTAGGCACAGGAAACAGTGCTTGCCTCGTCAGGCAGCAACTCGGCGTGCGTAGCATATGGCCCAGTCACTTTTGCTTGCAACGTTGGGTGCTTTGTTTGAGTGAGGTTTCCTTTGATTCACCGAAAACACGCGCCCACAAGTTTGGGAATACAAACAGTGCGTAATACTTCTGGACCATAGACTATTGTGCAACCGTGTTGATAAAACTTAACCTGTCGACAAGAACCAATGCACTCTTAAAGCCAAGAAATACCAAGACTTTAGGGTGCCTATAAGCATGTCGTTGCTCTAACACTTGATGACGTGTAAAGACGTGGTCTACATAGCCTTTTTCTCGGCCAGCATCCTGCCTGCTGTTCTCCGGTCCCTTAGTTACGCGCTTTCTTAAGATGGCATAGAATAAGCGACGCAGAGAGTTCGGTTACAAAGGGATTCAAACTAATTCTTATGTGATTGCCACACTTAGGTTGGGCACCCTTTTTGGAAATTAGTTCCGCTGTCGACTCACCCCAGTTGGTTGGGACGGTCTTTTTCTCTCAGACAGAGGCAAATAAGTTAGACAGCCACCGCCATCTTTGAATAGGGCGGATGGGAGACCATCGAGACCGGCATGTAGGTAACGCTTAGCAGACGAAAGTTATTCACTTATTCCTGAAGTCGTCGGAGGTTCCAAGTTGATTTTCCAGACCTGCGTTGAAAGTCGGCTGAGCAACTACAGGCGACCGAAGTTTCCAGTCCAACAATTCAGGCGCTTTCTTATAGATAGGTGGGTTGTTATCGGGACTTGTTTAGCTCACTGGAGGCCCTTCTTCGGCCCGTAGCAGTTTACGTGCATTCTCAGACTTTCTCACTTCTGTCTCAGCTTCCTGGATCCACAATGCTTCTCAATCAGGGCGGATGCCCTTTTTCACCTGAAGTCTGATAGTTCGTCGGCTGGTATTCTGGGTCCGAGCTTGGAACAGATTTAGAGTGCTGCTCGAGGCCCAGTGCCTAGATCTGGTTGGGTACGCGGTTTTACAAGTAGAGCGCTCAGCATCTTGTAGGGTTGCGGAAATCGTGGTTTGCGTTTGTACGTAACCTAACCGAGTTTTTGTTCATTTTGGTTGTCTTTTGTTTCCATTTACAGCACTGCTCAGCGGTATAGTCACGTAGGGACCGATCTTAAACATTGTCTGATGACTCATGGAGGTTGATTATCAGTACCAAGTGGATTACGCCAAAAGCGGCCGGGCAGGTTGCACGAAGTGTAAAACTCCAATCCCACAGGACAGTCTACGTGTTGCTAGGTTGGTCCAGGTAAGTTCCCGTCTTCCATGACGCTATACCCCCAAGGCTGCTAATTTTGATGGGAAAATACCGAAATGGTTTCATTTTCGATGCTTTTTCACCGGGAAGTTTAAGATACAAGCAACCTCGGAAATAAAGAATTTCGATTCATTACGATGGGAGGATCAGGAGAAAATTCGAAGTGCACTCGGTTCTTCGGATGGTACCACAACCACACCCACACCCACCAATCTGAAGTTCTCCATCAAGCTGGCTATGCCTGGTCTTAATTGCACCACTTGCAAAGGCCTCTTACTCCAGGTAAGTCTCTTTGCGTTACTCAGTCGAGACATCGAGTTCGTCTCTTTGCGCCTCGTTTTAACAATACCGTGGCTACTAGTCCACTATTAGGAAACTGTTACTTCACTGTAACTGTTAGTTGTAGACACCCTACTAGGTTACTAGGTCCCTGGTTCAAGCGTATGTAATGCCATGCTTGTAGGTAAATTTACTCCTTTTCTGTTGACGGTCACATGGTCAAAACCCCGAATACGTTCATGGTTACGCATCGTTTCTATGGCATTTGCGCTTCCGATGCCCCGGGTTTGTCTGGTCACTGTCTTACCACACGTACCCGCCATCTTGATGTGTAAAACCCGCGCTTCTTTCGTATTATGGCTATACCCTGTCATAACCGATCATCTAGAAGTATTTCCTTGGTTTCGTGTCCTAGATGAATTCAAGGTTTGTTGCCCATTCACAACAAACTTAAACCCGTTATCGCGCCTCTCTTGGTTGGTAGCTGACGAAAACCTATCCTCTTGAAATCGCATCTCGATTTATTCTAACACTATCGCCCCGGGACATTTTCAGTCTTTAACCTTGCTGCTTCGGTCTTTTTGAGACGCACAACCTGTTTATTCCTTTCTCGCCACCCCAAAGCCTGGCAGAACAGAAAATTCTACTGTTTCCATCTTCCCTCGAGTAGTCCATCTGTAGGAATCTCCGCTATTTTCTGTGTTCCTAAATTCGTAATCTTCAGCTCTCCAAACTTCCAGTTAGTTTACCTCTCTTCAATCCACCATGCGGTGTGTGCATCAGCATATGCCTTCTTTGACGATTCACTGTTTTTTGCAATGGGTTTCTGATTGTGAAGCCCTTTTAGTATGCAAAATTTAAGCATGACTGGAACGAATCGTTCGCTTAGTCACTTGTACGTTCCAATGGGCAAATGTCCCCGACCGTTCCTTTCTGGTTCAGCTCTAGCATATCTGAGGTCAACTGTTCATAACGTTCCAGCGAACAGTCGAATGAGTTTCTTCCTAAAATTATGGTTTCTTACACCGCTCGCACTATCACCTAATCAGGAATTTTGGGGAAAGCATACATATCCTCTCTTTTTGTCCCGATTGAACACAGCTCGTGAGTGCAACAAGATGTCTGACACGTCCGAACCGTTTCTGACATTATATGAAAAACACCAACCCACTGTGCGCATACTATTATCAAGCCCTCAAACGACACTCAACGACACAAAGGTTCGAATACAGTAACCTTAACACAATGTGTTTTTTTGGTGCGAATCGCTCGGAATATTGAGGTTATACCATGATTCGCATTTCTTTTGGTGTTGCTAACGTGCCTCCACGTGCCTCCATGTCAAAACACCAGTCTTTCGACTCTTATATAGAAAATGCTTTGAGAAACGTGCGCGACTCGGCTGTATTCTTTATGGCCAAGTTGGTCACAACAGAAAAATAAATAAGCTTAACTTGAATCAACTATTTCCGAGGGTTTCTCGTAGGTGGGAATTCTGAAATTGTTTCGGGCCACCGAACCTACGCCGGCAAAGTAGGGTCACTTAACTAAACGGCAGCTTCTGGGGATAATTCATTTGTTTTCTCCTACAGAACCAGTTCATCAATAGTTGGATTTAAGAAGAATATGAACAACTGTTGACATGCTGAATGTAATGAGAGTACGGTGGAATTGCAGGCGAACATCGTAAATTGGTTTGTCGACCCAAAATGGACCTACGTCAGTGGAACTGTTTGTTTTTGGCGACGCAAACCCACCGAAGTTTTTTGTGCTTTCTGCACATTGTTGTCTTAATTGGCCCGAGTGAATTTGAAATACCAGTAGGCGTGTTCGTATTTATTCCGTTGATTTCTGATTCCACTGATTGCTGTGGTTACCTAGTAAATTGTATTCTCTTCTACGCCTCCGCACATGCTAATGACGTGTCAGCCACCAAATCCTGAGACGCGTCGTCATCTCCGTACGGCTGTCCCCTGTATTCAGAGCCCCCCATGAAAATGCATTCACATTAATTCACACTCGTCGCCACGCAATCCCGTGACCGATGACTTTTTGGGTATGAGACGGGGACAGATAAGCAAACCGTCGTGCCAGACGATCAGTTTTCCGTCGGTATTCTTTTAGTCGAGCAAGAACATAGGGCAAGGGCTGTGAGGAGGCGTTAGCAAGATTCGCCAATTATCCTTATGCTTATTAGGCGGCCACTATAGCCTGTCCCTCAGCACTTGCTAGAGGGACGAAGAGACTGGACTTTACCGTGGTGTGACGGTTTGCGCACCTCAGCGATCCATTGAGCTATACTGGAGAGTGTCCCGCGACACTCACAGAGTCTCTCATACCAGGTTGGTCAATGGTTAGAGGTCTGACGAACACAGTCTCCTGGCCATCCAGGTTGGGGGTTGGAACATGTGGCGACTTGTTCCGTAGAAACGGTAATGCATTTGCATTTCCCGCCAAACACCGCTGCCTTGCGGTTAGGCTTTTGAGCCAAAGGCTTTGACTGAGGACCCTAATCGTCCTCCTGTCTAGGTGTAGGCGCCCTGGCAGTATCCCAGCCC